ACTGTGTTTGCACTCCCCCTATATGCCTATACCATATCCCTCTTTCCCCCTTGGAGCTCACCATTCCCCCGCCTGTGATGACTGACAGCTCCACTAATGCAGTAACAGCTGAGTACAGCGTGGGGAGGAGTATTAGAGGGAGGGTCGGTAGACAAAGCTCAGCAACCCATCTCCTCCTAGCTTGACTGCAGGATACACACCAGATGGGCCTTTGGTGTAGAAGGAGGATCCACGTGAAGCAGCTCTGCAGTGAGCCACGTCCAGATGGACAATAGCAGTAAATAAACCTCTATGGCATGGTCATGAGGCTTCAGCTCAAGATGGAGAGATTGATTCAAAGGATTTTAAATGTTTTGTCAATTATCCACTTTAGTCAGTTTCTTACCCTCTGATTCTGAGCCTCAGTCATGGGCAATAGAAAACAGGAATAGAGAAAAAGATACAGTTACTACACTTATGAAGACCATTAAAACCGTAAAGACAAAAGTCCTTCTACAATTGCAAGAAATCTATGACAATTCTCTCTACTAAACACAGCAAATAGTCATTTTACCATAAGGGACGCACAAAGACGAAGGGATGCATAAAAGTAAAAGATTACTTTTTTACTTTTTTTTTACTTTATACCTTTTTCTGCCACTGATGCAGTACCTACTATGAAGCACTTTGGTCAGCTGGATTGTTCATGTGAAATATAAATTAATTTGAATCGAAATAAACTGAAATTGATTAAAATAAACAATATGCCGATAAATTTGTTTATTCTGACCGGATGATTAACATTTTGAAACATTTTGTTTTATAAAACCGAAATCCCTTAAATATTTCTTAAATTATTCAATTGAACTAATATCGTGTATGTCAGAGTTAGACATACAAGACTGAACAAAAATGTGCTGAATAAAATTTTTTTAACACATTTAAAAGGTCAGAAGTTCTGCATAACTCAACTCTTCAATATGTGAACATAAAACTATAAACACATTTCCTAATAATGCTCCAAACTGAGTTCATCAGCTACTTTTTTACTAGTTCAATGTATCATACCAGGCTATGTTAGATTAACAAAATACAACTACGGGGCTTTTTGCATTTTTTTGTTAAGTTTTTTTTAATCCTGTAAATCTGATATATGACACAAACTGCTTTAATAGGCGACACCTTTATTCACAGTTAAATTCACAATATTAATCACGAATCATCCATCCAGCCAGCCACTGTCTGTGCTTGCTCATCCATGCTGTTTTTCGGTGGAGCTGGTGTGGTTACCAAGACAGGATTACACAGGACAAACAACCATACACACACTCCCACCTAAGGCCAGTTTAAGAGACTAATTAACCGACAATAAATCATTAAAATGTATTTCCTTTATTCTTTTACCATCATTAGTGTATGTTTTACTATATCAGCATAGCCTATATAGAACAGTCTTAGCTGTACCAACTTTGTATATTCCTGGCAGTCTCCTCATTAAGACATCAGCTACTTAATATTCCATGGAGCCTTTTGATTTGATGAAACCAAAAAGGCATGAATGCAAACTGATACTGGCTGGTGGCATAAAGGCGGCATGAGAAGAATGATGGCCAGAGGAGAAAGACTGCTGGCAGAATACTTGTGAGAATAAATTAACAGAAGCCCCGGCTACCTGTCTTTTATAGGAAGAATGAAAGCATAAGCGTGATAAGGGGGAAACAGGAAGGAGCATTCAGGGTCACTCCGCAGTCTCTGCATGTCTTCTGACTGATGTTAATTTTCAATTGACTTTGACACCTAAACACAGATTTGAAGTTTAATTCATAGTAGATACAGAGAGTTTAGGAATGATTAATGCTAATTTCATTCAAATCTGTTTAATAAACATATATTATTGTGTTTAATTAGCAGGTCAACACAGTTTACATGACATCAAATATGTTGTGACGGGTGCAGGAGATTGACTTTAAAAATCAGTTTGAAATGAAGAAGAAATGACCGTGCAACTAATTAGCATGGCAAATTCATGCATATTAAAAACCAAGTGTCACAATCACATATTGCCACTTAAAGTTGATGAATCCTCCCTCCAACTAATTGGAACTCTCAGGAATCTGGAGTCTCATCACCTCCTTTTTGCCCCACATCTTAGCAAAGTTTATATAAACTAATCAGCCAACAAGCATGAAACAAAAGGAGAAAACCGAGGAAACACAATAAAGAAATCCCATTTTATCCTTTCACACAATAATTGTGATTCAGCTAATTGCCTTATCAGTGCAAAGGAAGTCACACCAATATCCAGAAAGGCTTGCTCCCTCTCAGCTTCTTACCTGCACAATGCATGTATCAGAAGTTCATTTTCAAGGAAAATAGGACCAATTTGATAGTTAAGAGATTTGCTAAAGGAGTGACTTAAACAGCAGACATGTCTATCGAAAATAATAAATTGCCAACTAGAGGCATTATAAGTTTGTTGTTTTTAATCAGTTTACAAAATATATCCATCCTATTTGAGACACATTATAAAAAGCAATTTTTTCTCCTTTGAACATCTTATTGATTTTCATTCTTTAGAAATGTTGTTTCACAATTAGTTTTAACTAAGAAAAGTTGTAGTTGAATGTCATGAAAATAGAGTAAAAATAGTAGAGTAAGAATTAGTGGTACGAATCAAGAGGAAACTGCAAACTACTTATAGTATGAATGGTGAACTTTTTGAGGAATGTTACATATAAAGGATCTTTACTGACAGCATAAGGTCAGCAAGCGCTAAGGATGTCTTTCTTAAAAACATTTGGCAGTTTTTGTACGATTGGAAGAAATGTATGGGAGCACAGAAAGACAGTGCATAGTAAAAGTATTTCATATGTATATTTAGGAGATTGTATGTTATAGACCATAATAACGAAGTGCAAAGAGTGGGTTAGAGTAGCCAAATAAGTATAAAAGCACTATTTCAAACATTTACTCAATGGACATGGGGGGGAAATGGATGAAAAGTGGGTAGTTGTTTGTAATGCTTTTTTTTTTTAGGCATGATGTAATCATTGAAAAGGGGGCGTACTTCGGTACTTTAGCATAAAATAACAGATGAATGAAAATCAATAAAATTTTTGCAAAATCAATTAAGCCACAAATTTTTATATTTTTAAAACTAATCTTAAAACAAACACCTATAGTAAGCAATGCATTCACTTTTTAAATCCTTTGCTTTTATTCTAAATACACTGGACATACCTTTGGTAATTTTAGAGTGAAAGTAAGATATAATATACAGTATAAAAATCGATTTCATATAAAACCTGAAAAACATGCCGAGAACTAGTATGCAGTCTACTTTTACTCAAATCCTCCTTAATAAAATCTAAGCAACTAGTTATGGGGTTTATCTACCCAGTGAGTAGATTACACCTTTGTGCAATTCAGACTCAGTTTAAAAAGACCTGTTCTAAGTACAGTACAAAGAGAGAGTTTGTCACAAACAGCACCTTTAATAGCTAGGAACACAGCATACAGGACAGATTTCCAGTTGAGGAGAAGTTTAAAGCAGGGTTAGAGTATTACACCACTGCTTGCCTAATAGGACCATAAAAGAACTGGCTTAAACTGAGAAGCACCTGGGTCATCTATTGTAGCTTCGGAAGAGAGTCACAAGTTGGTGGGGAATTCTGACAGGACAGCTATTAGTCAGGTAATCCCCAAGAAAACCAGCTAGAGGTTACAAAAAATGAAACAAGGCATGGCAACAAAACATAAGCTTAAGTAGAAGAATAGTCTACTGTATATAATTAATACACTTCCCTTGATGGGCCCTTGTCGGGTCCTTGGTTGGTATTTGGCTTGTCATTTCTTTTTTAAACATTAACCTTTGTACTAAAATATTCTTTCTGTCATGATTTGTGGACATTAAGATCTAAATTGAAGCGTTATCTCCTAGTCAGACCCTGTAATTCAGTGAAAGGGTGGAGTCAGAGTAAATTATGCACTCCCAATGGGAAGGAGGGGTCACTCCAGTTGCTGTAGGTTGGAGGGGATTTTGCTGGGAGTTGCAGGGAAGTGGGCTGCCATTCGACTGGCGTTTGACTGGGAGGGACCATTTTGAATGGCTGCTACTGTATAATTCACTGACCCAAATCTACTTTATAATCCAGACTTGAAATTGCTGCTCAAGGATGGTTACCATCCAATCTGACTGAGGTTAAACTATTTTGCAAAATATTGACCCGAGCATAAATGCATGCCAAACATTTGGGATTTTTTATTTGCAAAAGCCTATATCTATGTTCCAGTCTCATTAAACTTCAAAACGCTGCGGTGGTGAGGTTACTGACTAGTACAAACAGAGGGGCTGATATTACGCTGATTGTAAAAGCTCTTTTTTGGCTCCCAGTCTCTTTTTGGTCCCAGTTTAAAATCCCGGTGCTGACCTTCACAGCCTTTCGCAGTCAGGCTCCCTCCTACATTATTTCTTGTGTCTTTATACCAACTCTCAGAGGCTGAGGTCTCAGGACCTGAACCTGCTCATGGTCCCTCATACTCCTTAGTGGACCAGGGGGAGATCGCTCCTTTCAGGCGGTCGAGCCGGCGCTCTGGAACGATTTTCCGCTTTTCTTGCACTGACTTGATTCTGTTGATGTTTTTAAGAGGGAACCTATTTGTTTAAGAAAGCATTTCAGTTCTAGTAGATTAAGGGTTTTTTTATGACCATGTCTATTGTTACTGTAAATGTATTTTCATTTGTCTTGTCATTTTGTTAAGCACTTTGTGGCCTCTATGTCTGTGAAAGGCTATATAAATAAACATTATTTACTTACTTACTTTTACTGCTACGCACTACTTTGTTTAGGACTTAAAGGATTACAATAATTTACAATTAAATTTGTCATCATTATGAGGTCATGTCAAACACCAAAAAAAAAGTTTTCATTCTAGCTTTAGATTTTAGAGTCAAAAGTGTGAACATGAATCTACAAATTATTTTAACCACGACTCTTTCTTTACTACAGTAAACTCTGTACCTGAGCATCAACGAGGAGGTGCCGCATCAGGTTCATGGACTTCTGCAGCGACTCTTTCTCCGGAGGAGCATAGGCTTGCTCTGCCTGTTCCAGGGACTTGGGTCTGGTAACCATAAAGTTTGCAATCTGGTCATTTATGTTGTTCAGCGACTGCACAGCTACAGGGAGAGACAAAAGTAAAATATTAAAGATGCATTACTTTTATATTAATTTATTAGATTTTTCATAAAGCAGATATATTTAAGTGAACCACAAGCTTCTGTTGCATAAAAAGATATATTTCTTACATTTTAAAATGTTTAATGAACATCTTATTGCTTAGAAAAACAGAGACAATAAGACAATAGTTTTCTGCTGTCACCAACTTTCTCTTTCAACATCATCTCTGATTGAGAATGTTCCATTTCAGCCAAAGACCCATCCTGTTTTTGTTTCCCTGCTCTTTCCCCTGTGTGTCCCTGGCAAACCTCTCCTGTCAGGTTTCCTTAAAACCGTACAACTTTTACTGTACTTCCTGCATCTAAAATCCATACACACACTTCCTAAACACACTTCCCATTGAGAGACCCGAGGTCTGTGAAGGGTCATGGCAATTATTTCCGCTGGAAACTTAGGATAAACGAAGGCGGGAAGGCAAGGGTGATTTCCATATTAGGTTCAAAAAAGTGCATATTTTCAATTTTACATGAGTTTCTATTCTAACCCCTGAAGTGTCTTTCCGCTTCTTACCAGCATCTGCCTTCTTCTAAAACCTAAAAGTAACTTTTATAGTTAGAAAGGAAGTTGGGCGAATGGCCATCTCTCTAGAGGTTATTTTATACAAACCCTAAGCTATTAAATCTATTATGTTTTTCTTAAATCCTCTGTTGGCACATTTCTGCCAAATAAAGAAATGCAACCTGCCTAATCCCAGTGAGTAGGATGATTGGAGGCCAAGCAGCTGGATAAGGTATTTTCAGGATGCAAATGTAAAGCCTCTTTCAGACACAAACACCCATGCACAGAGAAAGAGACAGACACAGAGAGAGGAGAGAGAGAGGGGCTAGATTATGTGTTGCGTAACTACAAAATTCTATCACCACCATGGCTGACATTTCCAAGCAAACAAGCTTTGAGGAGGAAATTTGACAAGTCAGGATTGAAAGCAGAACAGATAAGAAAGAAACAAAAGACCTGAAGAGGAAGACAACCTCTCCCTGAGGTGAGAGTTGAGCTGAAGTCAGAATAATGAATAAGTGAATAGGGTGGTTTTGCCTGAATTGCAAACACTTTAGTAAGTCTGAGAGTCTAAAAAATCAGACACAAAATGATGGACCAAAGAACCCTATCAAATAAAGAGATTAGGTATTAAAAATCTATTAAACATTTTTAAAATTTGTCGATCAAAATGCATATTTCTGCATTTTTGCTTTTATGTTATAGCAGCATTAATTCATAAATTGATAACATAATCTGGTTTCATTCTGGGTTTAGAGGCGCAGATTTAATGCACAGCCACAGTGCCCTCTACTGGACAAAACTAAAACTTGTATACATTTCAGTTAAAGCCAGGTGTTGAACACAAAGAATAATAAGACAAACTGACCCGCAGATATTAATAGCCTATAAGGTTTTGGCATGAGGAAGCATTTAAAAAAAGAAAAAAAAATCTCATATTATGATCAGTTTCCCACTCTGGTTGTACTGACTGCTCGGGATATAATTATATATGTTTGCCTGCTCAAAAAACTTAATCTTAAAATAATCACATAATCTACATTCCAACCATTTTGAGTGATAAATAAAACATTGATTTCAAGAGCTTACATCACCCAAATAATATTTTTTTTTTTTTTTTTTTAAGTTTTGTCATTAGATGATTTTTTGATAAATATTCATTTGGTTAGCCTGAATAATTTGTAAATGTAGAGGTAATGATAATTGAACTGGAAACACTGACAACTAACAAACTATTCAGATTTCTCTGGTCTTTTTGTAATTATTCAAATTAGGCATCATGGAAGTGTGTATTTCTGGGAAAGTCTATAAAAATGACCATAAAAGATACAAAAAAGTTATAATAAAAGTTGTCTAAGTCTAAAACATACAGTCATATTTAGCAAAATGTAAAGTCAATAGAAAAAAAATCCAAATAAAGTTTCAAAGCTAAGTTGTTGGGTGGGTTATACATTTTCTAAAGGTTTCTCCAAAGATATATAGTGTGACTGAAAAACATAGAAGTTTTACTTATCAAGTGGTGATATGACAAGATATGACTGAAATTATATTTTGTTTATTATACTAAATGAAAAAATAACCCCAAAGGCTTTTCTAGATTTATAACAATACATGTTTAAGGAAAGCACACAATATTGTTCAAATTAAAATCCATAGTCATCGACCACAAAACCTAAAATATATGCTGAATTCAATAAAATTATTATTGTTTAAGTGAATAGTAACCCTTAATATGCTGACCTTTACCCTGCATATTGATTATTTAACATTGATTACCTCTCTGGTCACTGAGCCTCTGTAAGTTACAACTCTATGGTCTCAAAGTGTTATTTTAATGACAAACTATAAACCAGTTGAATAAGATTCTTAATCATTGGGTTTTAAAGCTCTAGCAGGATGGAAAAAAACTGGAAATGCAAAAGCAGAAGAGGCCATCTTTGGAACAGTGTCGCCACGGCAGCTTTTAATCTGTTTGATGATGTCGCGCCTGGAGGATGTATTGCAGGAAGTAGAAAGTTTTGAGTGTCCTGTCCTTGTTAGTTTTTCTGCTGTCTTCTGTTTCCTTTCAATTAATCAGTTGATCTACGGTATGTTTCCCATTGCTGCAAAGAAAGCCTGTTTATTAGAACACAATGTTTAAAACTTAATTCAGATGTAATCTTAGAGTTAATGTTTGGTTTATTTCATTGTTTCATGATTTGCTTAGATTAATGATTAAAATAAATGTGAAACCACATAGCAAGGTAGTGTTATTTGATTTCAATGGATAAATGGAAGCATATATGGGAATGAATACTTTGTCAATCTTAATATTCTTATATTAATGCTGAGAATATGGCCTCACTAAAGAGAGAAATCCTAAATGCAGAAAATGTTAATATGCTCACCCTTCTATGCTGGCATCCAAATTTCTATAAACACTGAGCTTAAATAAAAGTTAAGGACTGAAAGATCTATTCATTTATAATGTTGTTTTAGCAATTTAAAGTTTATTTTTTTTTTTTACAGAGAATAATGTTTAGAATGTATTTTATACATGCGTATTTATAGAGTTGTTAAATAAAGGATAGTGGCATCACGACAAAATAAAGAAAGATTTGTGTAGACCAGAAGAACTACAAAAAAAAGTATGCATCTTTAGCATCTATGCATCATATTTAGTTATATTAACAGAATTGATTAATGTAACTGAGGTAGGACGTGAAACAATTGTGTCAAAGTAACTAAATCGTCTTGAGTAGATGCAAAAGATGCATGAATAATTTTTTTCAGTCAGTTGAATTAAAATATTTCTAGTGACAGTTGTGTCATTTTTTAATGACAGAAAAAAAAACAGAGTTTTCAACTACAAAAATAATCATTAGTGCAGTTCTGCTCTGCAACTACCAAAAAACTGAGCATCATTCTAACCACAAATGTAAAAGAAAACATTGTCTTGAACAAGAATGCAAAAATTTATAGTGAGTGCAATTCTGCAAAACCTGAAATAGATTTCCCCTGAAGCTTGCCTTCGGCAAATATAAAACTGATAAAAGAGAGCCAGCGGTATAAGCTGAAGGGTAATAATAAATAAGGTTGACATTTTAATCATTTGATCTTAAAGCTCTTTGTTTTATGTTTGTCTCAACAGCATAAAAGCTAAAGGTGCCTTACATGTTCTTATTTCATACAAACTCCAGAATAGAAACTTTTAGAAATGCTGGAAAACATGGAGAACTATGAAAGAAATCCAATTAAAGATAATGGTAGAAAATATTTACATTTCCTGCTATATCATTATGGTGGGGGTTAAGAAGTGGTAGATCACAACGGATGTTAAAATGAGTGCAACATCCTGTATTCACCTATCAATATTGGGTCACTGTTATTTCTCACTCATTGCTTCTCCTCCCTTTCCTTTTATTTGGCTTCAGCTGATGTGGATTTGGAATTGGACAGCCATAAGTGAAACGTCTACCTTAAACCTTTTAAACAAATCCTCTAAGCTGTTTTTGCATTTGTACTGAAACAGAGTAACTAGCTCAGCTGCAGGAATTTCTGTCTTATTTTAAAAGGGTTTCACACAATCATACTTAAAATAATACCTTTCACATCTGCTGAAATATTTTTGTGCATGAACCTGATTCTTTCCAGTCTAAGATGTAAAATAAAAGCAATAAGGCTTTTTTTTCCAAATTATGTAGAGAAGAATGATGGGAGAAGATGGAGAAACTTTTTAACAGTGCTATACAATGCTGCCCCCTGTTGGTATAAGAAAAAATGAACCCTTGCTGGTCCTTTTACATTTAAAACTATGAGATCATTTTACCCCACCACAAAAATGAATCGAAAGGAGACATTATTCAGACGAGAATTGACTGCATGTTTCTCAGCAGATGATACATGGTGTATAAATAATTCTAAGAATTAGAAACCTCTAAAAACACAATCAGTAATATTAAACTGGTAAATATGTATAAAAAAGTTTCTCGTATATAACATAAAGAACCAATCAATCCACTTTCAAAACTTGAGCTGATCAATGAAATTAAAGATCCTGGCATAATAATACATGATAAAATAATTGTGTTTAAAGTAAATCAAAATATATGTGCTGATTATCATTTCATGATTAATTGATGAGGCAAAATAGTTCACAAGAGACATGTTAGCTTTCATGAATAAACATGTCAATTTCATACTGCTGATAAATGCTGACACATTATGCATCCATAAATCCACCTTACGCCTTCCCACCTCTAGTATTTGCACAAGATTTACATGATAGGGATGAAGGCGCAGAAAGAAAGAAGCACACATCACTGGTTTGGTGGAAGTGAACCTCAGGGGTCCTGCAGCTGTGAATCGGCAAGCAGAACCCTCATTTCCACAGAGCTCATTAAACCCAACTAATCATATCTGTTACTGGAGTACTGGGTGGAATAAAAGCAAAGCAGTAGAT